AGGCTGCCCGGCGCCGGACTCTCAACTCTCCGTGTTGGGGCGACTGCACGCGATGCTTCCGTGCAGGAGCATCGGCGGCAAGAGCTGAGATAATGAACCTGGCGAGGTGAGCAGGGCCGGAAGGGACAAGGCGGCCGCGCTAAACGGAATCGTAGAGGCTGCTCTGATCCTTAGGTTTCCGGTACGTGACAGGCGGCGTGGGGGAGCGACACCGACACGTACTGCATCTTGGTCACTTTTATTCTGCCCTCCTCTTCCTCTCTTTTCCAAGAGCCCCGGCCCCTCTCTACAGGGTTCACCTGCCTGTTTCTTAACGTGGCTCTTTTACTGTATTGTATTTTTAAAATTTTGTTATTTTTCCGGTACCGGGGATCGAACTCAGGACCTAGTGCTTGTGAGGCAGGTGAAGGAAACACGGAGCTAAATCCCGGGCCCTAACATGGCTCTTTTATTTTGCTCTTTAAATTACTTATATTTTGGGTCTCATATCAGAGAAGCCATGTAATGTGATACGTAACCTTTGGGGTCGGAATTTTATCCCGCGCACTGGAACCACGAGAATGATGCGCCCGGGTTTCTCCCGGGCTCCCTGGGAACCATGAGATGCGGCGCCCAAGCCTGTGAGGCGGGCGCTGACCTGTGGACTTTCTGGGCTGGGAGCCTTTCGGCCGGTGGGCAGGGAGGGCTGGGGGGAAGGCGCGCACAGAGAAAGGTCTGCAGAGTCGGGGGCTTCCGGGGATTTCCTGCCGGCAAACTCAGGAAGCCAAATGAGGAGGGTGAGTAGGTGAGAGAGGGGGCCTTCCCTGACCCAGCGGCCTTTATTCGTGTTTCCATACTTAATATGTTATAAACCATCCTCGTATAAGTATCATAGGAAAGTCTCCTATGACCCTGTGCCTGCTGTGGGCGGGGACAGTAAGAGAACCGCGTAAGGAGTCACCCAAGGCTCCCAGGTAGAAAGCTGAGGGTCCAGGATTCAAACCCATGGCTCTTCAAGGCTAGGGGCTAAGAACTGCTGCAGCAGCGCTCTCTGCATGAAGCCAGTGTTTCTCATTTGTCGTTGCAAGGCAACAGGACGCCGTCCTGCCAGAAAACCGCCCACCCGTCTGTTTTACCAATGTGAACGCTGCAAGGGACTCGATTCACTGTTTATCACCCTGGCAGCAATGTTTGTTTATTTATTTTTGTATTTTCGGTACCGTGGATCGAACTCAGGTCCTTGTGCTTGTGAGGCAGGTGGCGGAACCACTGAGCTAAATCCCTGGGCCCAGCAATGTTTACCTAAAACATTGCAAAAAACAAAACAAAACAAAACAAAAAAACCCACCCTGAAAAGCAAACAAATTAAGATGCAAATTAGTGCATCTTAATTTTTACTTTGTCCCATGCTTGGCAATTTGTAGCAGTCTAATTGTGTTTAGAGTTCAGAATTTTAGAATTCTTCTTCGTTTTACTTCTGGTGCCGCGGGTTGGACCCAGGATCTCACGCGTGCTGTGCGTGCACCCAGCCACTGAGCTTTGCTCCCAGCCCTGTAGTTTTCTTATTATAGGGAAACAGCCTGGTGTCCCCCTCTTCTTTACCTTATTATGAAAGCGTCGACTGCTGGTACCTTATCTGAAGCATACATTTGGAAATGTTTAATTTATATCTGCATTTCCCAGTGTAGTGCTTGCTTACACTAAGCACTAAATAATAAATGTTTGCGTCTAAGTAAATAAATGTCTGGCTCCTACTGCCTGCTGCATGGTTACATGCAATAAATGGTTATGTACAGTACAGTATACACAATTTGTGGAAGTTTTTCCTCTCATGCCAAGCACAGTACTAGATGCAATCCAGTCTCAAAGACTAAAACGTTGACTCACGATATTTTTGTGTGTGTGTGTTTTGTTTTTTGTTTTTTGAGACAGGGTCTCACTATGTAATTGAGACTGACCTGGAACTCACTATGTAGTCCAGGCTGGTTTTGAACTCACAGCCATCCTCCTGCCTCAGCCTCCTGAGTGCTGGGATATTAGGCGTGAGCCGCCACGCCCGGCATTTTGTTTTTGTTGACTTTTATAGATCCACCTGTATTCTTTTCTATTTTTTTTGTTTTTCTTTTTTTAGACAGGGTCTCTATAGTTCAGACTGGCCTTGAATTTACTATGTATCTCAGGCTGGCCTCGAACTCAGAGCAGTCCTCCCATATGAGCCTCAGTTTTGCTCTCAGCCATCCTCCTGCCTCAGCCTCCTGAGTGCTGGGATTATAGGCGTGAGCCGCCACGCCCGGCATTTTGTTTTTGTTGACTTTTATAGATCCACCTGTATTCTTTTCTATTTTTTTTGTTTTTCTTTTTTTAGACAGGGTCTCTATAGTTCAGACTGGCCTTGAATTTACTATGTATCTCAGGCTGGCCTCGAACTCAGAGCAGTCCTCCCATATGAGCCTCCCCTATGGTGGCTACACCATGCCTGGCTCCACTTGTGTTCTACAAACACCCGCCTCATGCCCAAAGATTCTAATACAAATGATCTGGAGTAAAGTCTATCTGTTGGTATTTTTAAAAACCCCAATGTGCAAAATGGTTTTATACTCAGTGGAAAGCACAGATCCATGTACAGCATATACAATGGTGGAGGCACTGGGTATCCTGGCTCTGGAGTCCCCCCGCCACCCTGTTTCTAAAGTGTGGCTCAGATTACTTGTCCTCCCAATGGGTGCAGGAAAGTGGCTTCCAGCTCAGACTGTTCGGAAGAACCAGCAAGCGAAACATCTTGTAGCCAACCGAGTTTGATGACTCGTATCACCAGGACTGTAAGCACAGGTGAGCGGGGGGGCGCCTGGGCTCCCGGAACACAGTTCTTTGGCCTTAGAAAGCAGTAGGTCAGAGGCTGCGGGGAGTAGGACTCGGTTATCCTGGAGGAAGTCGTTATTTACCCTGGTTCCCTAGGTACCCTGCTAGTTTAGCAGCTGGCCACGGAATTTGTTCTAGTTTTGAATGGTGAGCTTGGGACTTCTAGGTAATCTAAAACAACCTGGGCTAAAGGATAAATAAAAGAATCCTTCCTCCACTGCCTCCACTAAATAGCACTGATAAATACGTGAAAAATTTTACCTCAGTGTAGGAGGAATGTGTTCTATTAGCACTTTATGGATTTGGCAAATATTCGTGGAGCATAGGTCGGGTGTCATGCCCCTAATGAAGCGTCTGCCAGTCCCAGAGGCTACAACCAGTACCAGATGTGCCAGTCGGTACTGGAGTTCATGAAACTCCAGTTTTGTGGGGCGGAACCTTATCTGTCTCCCCCAAACATCCCCACAGCCTGGGACGCGTGTGTCTTGTAGAAGGTGCTCAGTACGTGCTTACTGAGTCAATTTCCAAGAGCCTCTCGCCAAAGACTGTGCTGATACGGTTGACTCTATTATAAGCCATATTTGTGGACTCCGTACCCATGGAGTCAACCGACCACACATGGGAAACATCAGAAAATATGTGTCATTTTGTCTTCATTTCCTAAATGATCCTGTGCAACAATTATTTATATAGCATTCACACTGTATGAGGTGGTGTAAGTAACATGAAATATAAAATACATGGGAGGATATGTGTAGATTGTATGCAAACACTGAGCCATTGTGTGTAAGGGACTTAAGCCTCTGCAGGTTTTGGATCTGTCGGGGTCCTAGAACCCGCTCCCCACGGCACCGAGGAATGGCTTAGGTGATTTCGGTTGACTTAGTGGGGTTGGTGATGTAGCGGTTCTGCTCACTGCCAGATGCAGAGAGGCACCAGGGTTTTCAGATTTATACATTTTAATAGACAAGTGAAAAGGGTCAGTGAAAGCACATAACATCTTTCGGAAAAGCACCTACAAGCAGACTCAGGTTACCAAGATGGGAAGCTCACAGGGCTGTCTGTGCGCCGCCTTGCCAGTTGTAAAGAAGCTTCATCTCCTTGGGGTAGGAGAACTTAAACAATCTCTGGAAAGCGTGTTTAATAGCTGTGGATCTTGGTCGATGGGCTATTTTCTTTAAAATATTGTGGGTTATTTCTGCCAACCCCTGGACCTGAGAGTCTTCATCCTGGAGCATTCGTTCTGTAGCTGTGACAGCAGAGAGTCCCTCGGTTGGAGGCAGATCTGCCTCAGAGTCCAGGAAGCTCTTGCCCAGCCACAGAGACCTCCCTCCCCCGCCGTCTTCCCACTCTCCCAGCTAATTTCTGGCCTTGACGGAGGGCATTCCATTCAAAGAGGAATGGAAAGGTTCGCTGTCATTGACCAAGTACCTATAATACGTTGAGCACTCTGCTCAGTAGCGTAAACATATGCTCGTGAAGACGTTTGTGAGCACACACACATTTTGGTCATAATAATGAAAAAGTTGTGCCAGGGATTTAGCTCTGGTGCCACCACCTTCCTCGCAAGCACAAGGTCCCGAGTTCGATCCCTGGTACAAAAAAAAAAAAAAAAAAAAGCCGGAAAAAAGTCAAAATTTGGAATCAGCCTGTTTATCAGTAGGAAGCTGCTTAAAAATTAACGTGATAGCTGAGTGTGGTGGTGGATGTAACCCCAGCACTCTGGGAGGCTGAGGCAGGAGAACTGCACATTTGATCCCAGACTGGGCAATTTAGTGAGAACGTGCCTGGAAAAGAAAATGTGTGTGTGTCTGTGTGTGTGTGTGTGTGTGTGTGTGTGTGTGTGTGTAAAATGAAGGCCTGGGGTTTAGCTCAGTGTGAAGGTACTGGGTTCAAGCTCCAGTACTGAATAGCACACACCATTTTTTTTTTTTTTGGTACCGGGGATTGAACTCGGGGCACCACTCAGCTAAATCCCTGGCCCAGCGCACACGTTTTAACATGACAAGGTCGGCACACAGTCCTTGGCGCAGAAAGATGCTTATGATATGTGAGGAAATAAAAAAAGTTATAAATCGGGTATGATCATTTAAAAAGACAAATATGTAGTAGCCTATATTCTTTTGGAAAACCTGGGATAATGCACACATCAAATATTAATATCAGGGCAGGGGTTTAGCTCAGTGATGCCACACCTGCCTGGCAAGCACAAGGTCCTGAGTTCAATTCCTGGTACCAAAAAATGCTACTATCATTACGTCCAGATAGAGGGCCGTGCAAAATTATTTTATTTCCTCATAAAATAAATAGCGAACATAAAAGGGGGCATTTAGAAAAGAAAAAGGAGAAGGGGCAGAAGGACAAAGTTGTAAGAGGGGAATATGGTAGTGCTTGCTGTTTAGCAGGCAGTGAAATGTGTTGCGTGAGTGAACGAAGAAGAAACAAAGGTAATGGTAGTCAGTGTGGGCTCCTCCGGTAACGAGGGCAGCCTGGTGGGAGGGGCTGATAGGAAGGAGGTGCTGGGCATCCAGCTAGGAGCTAGGAGCTAGGGGAGAGGCTATCTAGGAAATCCGCACCTCCGGCTCCTTTTTGTCCTGAGCCTAAAACGCTCTGAAAACGCTTAGCTAAGGAAAAACAAAACAGCAACAAAGAATCCAAAACCAAACAACCAAACCAAAAGAAAAAAAAAAGGAAGGAAGGAAGGCTCCATCCACCCTGTTTTCCGCCTCACTTTCTTGGTTTTTGTTTTTGTCTGTACTGGGGATCGAACTTGGGACCTTACACTTTCGAGGCAGGTGGGTGCACCACTGAGCCAACCCCCAGCCCCATCTCACTGTTTGGAATTCTGACTGATGAGGCAGTGAACAAAAGAGAGGGAGGAGAGAGAGACATAGAGATAGATGAGAGAGAGAGAGAGAGAGAGAGAGAGAGAGAGAGAGAGAGGAGGTAAGAGAGCTAAAATCCAAACGCCTTCCTAGAATATTACCCTTCAGTTCCCTCCTTTACATAACACTTTCATTATAACCTTGACACTTACCTTCAATCAAAATTTCAATATCATCCCTGAATAGTAGATGTCCACCCAGTTCTGCCAAGTACCCTATATAAGAAATAAAACTAAAATTACTACAAAATACATCATGAAAATATATTCTCATACCCTCCGCCTCTCCGTGTCTGCCTCCCCCAGCGATCTCCATCGTGTACACAACCACAACCACAACCGCACACAGAGGTTGAGCCCGGCGGGCTTCTCTGGAGAACCCGGCCCTGCGCTGGGCTGAGGTGTACAAACCAGGACAGACGGAAGGCGGCGCTAGAGTACGCTTGACCTTGGCTGGCGTGCATAGTTTCTCCAGGTGATATCTGGCCTAATTACAAAGTTATGGGGTACAGGACATGCGCTAGACCTTAGAGAGGATGGATGTTCTCGCCGATGAACATGCAAGGACTCAGCTCTTTGCGATTAATGTCAAGGGGCTCAGTGCCAATTCTCAGGAAACAAGCAGGTGGAAAGTGTACCAGAAACATCACGATGTATACCTGATCAAGGCCAGGATTTACTGCTTAAGATAATATTTCTTCGCCGGGCGTGGTGGTGCATGCCTGTCATCCCAGCACTGGGGAGGCTGAGGCAGGAGGGTCACTGTGAGTTCGAGACCAGCCTGGGCTAGTAAGTTCCAGGTCAGTCTCAACTACATGGTGAGACCCTATCTCAAACAAACAAACAAACAAACAAAAAAACAAAACAAAAAAAAAAAGAAGAGGAAATCCAGTCACACCGAACAATTTTCAAAGGCCCGTTCAGCGATGAACGGATCCCTTGGGAAGCTGTACGCTCCTCTCCCTAAGCAGCTAGCCTGCCTCAGCTTCACCAACTCACACCCCAAGCAGAGCGGAGCCCTGGGCAGAGACAAGGCTGGGAACAAGGCTCCAAGTGCTGACTCACACCTCGCATCCCGAGCAGGTGATCAGGGAGGAGAGAGATGCGGGGGCATCCTTAGTAGCAGGGAGAAGCAAGCTGACCAGGGCAAGGGCCAGGCTGGGCACTCAGGCTGCAGCTCTTGGGCCAGTGAGAGAAAGCAGATCGTTCCCTCTAGCACATAAGGCCAAGGTCAAATCCAAGGTGAAGTCATCCCTGCATAGGCCCCTGTGCCTCCAGGCTGTGGTGCAGAGCTGGTGCTGGACAAAGGGCTCGTCACTGTAGATGGACTCAGTGGCCTGCAGGATAAGAAGGTCCCAGGGATCCAGGGCCGTCCCGACTGTTGCGCTGTTCTTAGGGACCATTCCCAGGAACAGCTGCCGGTTCTCAGCATGGGATCTGGCCCGGCCTTCTGCCTGTTTGCCCTGGAAGGGAAGCCGGGCCTACAGGTTGGGCAGATCCCCTAGGAGGGAACTCACAGCCAGGAGCAGAATTCCTGCCAGCTGTCCCTCTGCAGACCCACAGCAAGACAAGTGGACCAGCACAGGTTCAGATGGGGAGAAAAAAGCCCAGCCTAACCCTGCAGCAAGAGGGCACCGTCCCGGCTTCCCACACTGCAGCGAAGGCCGCACCGGGAGTCTCTGCGACTCTGACCCACCTATATACCCTTCCCGGCCCTGCTGTAGGACCCCGCAGGCTGCCTGTGTGGACAGCAGCAAGAACGGACGGACAGAAAAGAGGTCGGGGACTCTGCGGGGTCGCTGCAGCCTGAACCCTTCCCTGAATCCAAGGTCACTGTCTCCCTGGGTGGCCCGCTCTGTCCTGCTCTTCCTGTCGCCTCCCTTTTCCCTGGGGGCCCGGGAGTCTGCTCCTACCTTAGGGTACCTGCTCTTTCTTTGGGGTTCCCTACTTTGCTCCCATCGTTGTTAAGTTGTCCCCGTACCAATTAAGCCCTCCTTGGATTCAAACACAGCACCCTTTCTCATCACTGCAGGAACTTGGAAAATAAGGGCGATATTACCAACAAAGGAAAAAACAACAACAAAAACCGGCGACAAAATTAGACAAAATGCCCCAAATCAAAAGGTTTTGCTGAAGTTGTGTTTTTGAAAGTCAGAAATGAACTTTCTTCCCTCTTTCTTTCTTTCTTTTCTTTTTTCTTGTACCAGGGATCGAACTCAAGTCTTTGCAATTGCCAGGCAGGCGGTGGAACCACCGAGCCAAATCCCCGGCCCAGAAGTGAACTTTCAAACAGATGTCAAGAAAGTCGGCCCAGGGGGTCAGCAAGGGACCCCAGTGAGGAGGAAAAGCACAGCCTTGGTGGGCGCCATGTCCGGAGGCTCCGCTCACAGGCAGGCAGCCGGGTCACCCTCTTGTCCCCAGCAAAAGTGTGGCTTCCGTGGGGTGCAACTTCGGTCCGTTTTCCTCCCCAAATAAGCAACAGAGCCCAGATCCTTAGCTGTGACTTCTCAAATTTTACATGCTGACCGCTGATGTGAAAAAACACATGTTCAAGCATCTCCAGGATAAGCGGTGATAAACCGTGACGGTTCTGGTCAGCCGGTCTGTAAGGTGAGTTACGCTTTGGGACTTCAAAGAAAGCTTAAAAATTGAGCCAGTTAGAAAGCATACATTTTGCCTTTTGTTTTTTTTCTTTTGGTACTGGGAATTGAACTCAAGTTCTTTGCTCTGAATTTCATCCCCAGCCCCTTTACTTTTTTTTTTTTTTTTTTAATAGACTTCTTTTCTTTCTTCTTCTTTTTTTTTTGGTACCGGGGATCGAACTCTGCTCCTTGCGCTTGCGAGGCAGGCAGCGGAACCACTGAGCTTAATCCCCGGCCCTGGTACAGATCTTTTTCTGTTCATCCACTTCATGGACACATCTTTAAAGAAAATACATTCCGTTGAAGGAATATTTATTAAACACCTACTTTGTGCCAGGCCCCCTTGCTGCGCCCTGCAGCACCTAGCCTCTCCTCAGAAATTCAGTCCTAGGTAAGGAACATTGCCACAACTGAACCAATGCGGCGGAGGGAGTGAGGGTGCGGGTGCCTCCCTTGCCAGAAGAGGCGCCACCAGAAACGCGTTTCTTCTCTCCGGATAAATCTCCACTCTGCGGTGGCTTTATAGCAGCATCTCGGTGTCTACTGAGAGGAGTTGCTCCCTCCGCGGTGAGAGTGATATACTCTGAGTGCTATTCAATAAAAGGAGAGGGTAGCCGGGCGTGGTGGCGCATGCCTGTGATCCCAGCACTCGGGAGGCTGAGGCAGGAGGATCGCTGTGATGTGAGTTTGAGACCAGCCTGGGCTACATCATGAGTTCCAGGTCAGTCTCAACTATAGTGAGGCCCTGTCTCAAAAAACAAAACAAAAAAAGAAGCATTTTTTTTCATGTCCTTACCCACTTTTCTACCGGGCTGATTTTTCTTACAGATTTGTAAGGCTTCTTTAGATGATGAGAATCCATACTTTATCAGATATTTCAACTCAGTTTGGTTTTAAACCTTGTAGGTGTTTGACCTTCAAAAAAAATGTTTTGTTTTTACATGGTTGTTAATCTTTCCTTTATGGCACTAGATTTTGATTTTATTTACAATGCTCTTCCCTATTCCGATTATAAAGTAAAATTTCCATGTTTTCTAATATTAGTGATAATTATGGTCTCTTTTTTTAGCGTTAGAGTCTTTGAACATCTGGAATTTATTTATTTATTTTGGTTTTTGGGTTTTTTTGTTTGTTTTTGTATTTTTGAGACAGGGTCTCACTGTGTAGTTGAGACTGACCTGGAACTCACTATGTAGTGCAGGCTGGTGTCGAACTCACAGCGATCCTCCTGCCTCAGCCTCCCGAGTGCTGGGATTACAGGTGTGTGCCACCACGCCCCACTAGAATTTATTTTATGTGAGGAGTAAATAAGGAACAAATTTTTAAATATTCCAGATGGCTTACCAGACAACCCCGTACCATTTAAAGAAGATTCCGTGTTTTTCAGCACTCCTAGTTAAAGCCCAACACTCACTTGCTATAGTATTGCATAATTTATGGGTTATTTCTGGATATTTCCTCCCATCTGTGCAGTCTATATGATCTCCATTACTGTAGCTATATTAGGTCTAATAGGGTTAATCCTCACTCCTTATCCTTTTTGGTTAAAATGTCCAGTATCCTTGCATGGTAACTTTTCCACATTAATTTTACAATAAGCCTGTTAGTTTTGAAAAAAAAATTGTATTGTTAACCTAGTTAGTCTCTAGTTGCAGGTATAGATTTAAGAAAGAACTTTTTCTGTTTCAAGTCTTTCTTATAAGATCAGCACTGTTGTCTTTATTCAGACTTTGTGTCCTTCAGTAATATGTGCAAGTTTTCTTCATAGACATATTGCACGCATTTCAGAGCTTATTTTATCTTTCCTCCTCCCTTCTGTCCAACCCCCGTTCCTCTTTGTTTTTGGTACCGGGGATTGAACTCGCATCCTTGCGCTTGCAAGGCAGGCGGAGGAACCACTGAGCTAGATCCCCGGCCCAATAAAGTAAATTTTAAGCATTATAGTAGGTTAGACATTCGCACCCCTTGTCTGGCTTTCAGCTTTGAAAACACTGGTGCTTTGGAGCCCTCTGTGTTCTTATAAACGGTTTTCTTTCTTCCCTTCCTCCAGGTGAGTCATGCTGAATTGTATTGACACTGTCCTCGATTTCCCGTACGGTTTTCAGGCAAGTTAATATGAGTTTCCAAATAATGTGCTTTTGGTTGTGGTTGTTTTGCTTCATATTTAGTTATGTTCTTTGTGTTACCCAACATTAGGTTTTGGTGTTTATTTTGGTGACTGGAGCTCCAGTGTTTTGTTTTGTTTTTTTTTTTTAAATAAGCTAACTTGTTACCTAGTGTTTCACTTGTGATCATACAAAAATTATTTATTTTCTCTACTTTTTTTTGGAACTGGGATTGAACTGGGGACCTTGCACTGAGGTATATCCCTGGCTTTATTTTCTCTACTTAGGATGGACATTTTGTTTCCAAAGTATCTGTCATTACAAATAGTGTTGCAACAAACTTTGTTTTACATACACGTCTCTGGATAAGTCTATGCAAGCGCTTCTCTAAGGTGTATACTTTTATTTTATTTATTTTTTGTTTTGTTTTGTGTTGAGACTGCCCTGGAACTCACTGTGTAGCCCAGGCTGGTCTCGAACTCACGGCGATCCTCCTGCCTCAGCCTCCCGAGTGCTGGGATCACAGGCGTGCGTCACCATGCCTGGCTCATAATGGTATCTTATTGCAGCTTTTAATTTACCTTTTCACTTGATCTTAGCCAAAAGGCCGAGAAGCGATTAATTTACCTTTTCATAGTGACTGATCTGGGTCAAATACTTCTTGATATGTTTATTGGCCATTTGGAATCCTTTGCTGAGAAATGTCATCCAATTATCAGCCGTTTTTCTTTCTTTTTGATTGAGTTTATCGGTACATTTTAGGTATACAGTACAGTTACAGTCATCACTGGGATCCTGTACCTTTACATGGCAGATCTTGGTTCTCATTTTTCCCCATTCCCCTGCCCTCACTTCACTCCCTCCACCCTTCCCTATTTACAAAGACTTTGTTTCCAGTGCACACACACACACACACACACACACACACACACACACACACAAAAAAATTTTTATTTGTACCGGGGATCAAACTCAGGACCTTTTGCTCGCTAGGCAGGCAGCGACAACACTGAGCTAAATCCCTGCCCTCTAAATTTTTAATGAAGACTCCTACCTGCTATTCTGTACTTTCAAAGCTACATTAAGAAGTAAGAATTAAATTCATTTACCTAGTAAAATAATTGATGCTCTTCTCAGACGTACTTGGGAGCTCCCCAGGAACCTCAAGGCGTCACAAACTAAATATGTAAGGCAGCTCTCATGAGACAGAAGCTGAGGATAGAAAGCAGGGGGAACCTCTTTGAATCACTGAAAAATTGGCGGGCTTTCTCCAGAGAAGTTCCAGACAAAATAACCTGACTGCTACACAGAACCAGGACCACTGAAGACCTAGGGATTCTCACGCACGAGCTCTGCTTTTCTAGCTCACTTGCAGGTGTCGTCTGTGATTTCCAGGGCCCACTGTGCCTTTCCAGTTCTACTTTGGCTCCCCCTGTGCGCCGCAATCCCCCGTCCCCACTTTTTGGAGGAAGAGGGTAAGCTGCAAGATCAGAGTTGATGAAGAAGTAGAGGATTCTAATTATTTCCCCCTCCTCTCAAGCCCTAGCTGTGAGTTTACATCTTATCATCTTCACAGTCTCTCCCCAAGGTCAGTCTGTCCTTTCCTACCACCCCTCCTCATCACTTTGGATCCCCTTTATGTTTCCTCTTTTTTTTTTTTTTTTTTTTGTTTTTGTTTTTTGAGACAGGGTCTCACTAGGTAGCTGAGACTGATCTGCAGCTCACTGTGTAGCCCAGGCTGGTCTCGAACTCACAGAGACCCTCCTGCCTCAGCCTCCCGACTGCTGGGATTACAGGCGTGCACCACCACCCCTGGCCTTATGTTTCCTCTTTAGCTCTCAGGAGTAAACAGGGAAGGGTAACTTACGAGACTGTTACAGGTGTTGAGAACCACCAGCTCAAAGTTATAGTTTTCTTCTTTAAGCGAGTTTGACACTGACCAGTCTAGTTGCGAGTCACAGATTGCTAACGTGTATCTACAAGCCTGCGAGACGGAAGGAGGGCAGTGAGGACCTGTTTATCCACTAGCCCATCAAATATGATTTTCGGCAAAATCGCCAAGTGCATGCTCACAGGTCTTACTTACGCTCACTACTCTAGCATCCCTGTCCTCCAGACAGAGGATGAGGGGTGCGAAGCCTCCCAGGACATGTCTTAAAGTCGATGTGTGTTGGCTCATATCCTTGAGTAGCTCCGCCAGGTGCCTGACAGCCAGACTCCGCACATTTCCATGGCTCTGAAATGTGTACGCAGGAAAGGAAAAGACTTTCTATGAGCACAACATTAGTGTATGTATAAAGTCATATAAGCATGTATGCTGCATCTCTCTCCAGACACATACATGTATGAAATTATTGTAATTTATTTGTAGGAGACATTGGATCTATGTAGCCAGCTCTTCTGTTGAATTTGATGTTGTTGTTCTGAAGATTGAACTTGGGACCTTGTGTTTGAGAGGAAGGCGGTGGCACTGAGCTAAATCCCTGGCCCTCTTGTGATTTTAGCATAATATTTGCTTAGCCATTACCATAAGAGGGATGGTGAGGAATCAACCTATGAGCTCGTTAGTGTAACAAGGGTTACAGAGTGCACACATACGATAATACTTTTAGTCATATTTAAGAAGAAAATCTCAGGGGTTGGGGATTTAGCTCAGTGGTTCCGCTGCCTGCCTTGCAAGCACAAGGACCTGAGTTCGATCTCTGGTACCAAAAAAAAAGGAAGAAAGAAGAAGAAGGAGAAGGAGTGGAAGAAATGGAAGGGGAGGGAGAGTGAGAAAAAGAGGGGAGGGAGAAAGAGGAGAGGAGGAGGAAGAAGAGGAAGAAGAGGAAGAGGAAGAGGTGGAAGAGGAAGAGGAAGAGGAAGAAGAAGAAGAGGAAGAAGAAGAAGAAGAAGAAGAAGAAGAAGAAGAAGAAGAAGAAGAAGTAGAACTCCCAGAAGCACAGAGTAGTCATGTTTGCCAGAGGCTGGAGTTTGAGGAGGAAAACACTGATTACAGAACACACAGTTGCGTTAGGATGAGTAAGCTTTGGAGATCTAATGGATGGCATGGTGACTGTAATTAATAGCAATGTAGTTTGTACTTGAAAATTGCTAGGAAATTAGATCTTAAATATTATCACCATACAAAGGACATGTGGGGAGATGGATACATTAATTATCTTGAACCTATCATTTCATGATGGGAACACAGACATATACATCATGATGTAGACACATATAAAAAACCCAAACTGTATAGCATTTATACATAGAGTTTTTAGTTATGGGTTATACTGTGACCAAGCTGGAAAGATACTGCAGTTGGATAAAGATTTACTTATGAAATACTTACTACATTTCAAGTCTCCTGTGAAATATGTTTCTTAAATTCAGGGAGATGGTTAGTATTTAATAATATCTTAGAAATATTAACTAGAATCATCTCTATAACTGGAGGACATTTTCTTTTCTTTCTTTCTTTCTTTTTTTTTTTTTTTGATTTTTTTGTTTGTTTGGTTTTTTGAGACAGGGTCTCACTATGTAGTTGGGACTGACCTGGAACTCACTATGTAACCCAGGCTGGTCTTGAACTCACAGTGATCCTCCTGCCTCAGCCTCCTGAGTGCTGG